CCAAGCGACTTAAGACTGGTTTTGTGGTCCAGGGTCACATATTGTTAAATGCAAAAAATAGATATTTTATATGCAAGCTGCGTTTTTGAATTTGTGAGCGTTGTCATTTGATGAATCTACATGATTACTTAGAAACCTGAACTCTTAAAACAACATATCAGCCCTTGAAGAAACCCAGTGTGAGCATCTAATGAGGTTCTTGTTTCTCTATATGATGCTGCTGTGCTACCGCTGTGATCAGGGCCGCCCCTTTCCCACTGCCATCCTCTGATAGGATGAAATCCACCTTACAATTGGGCGCAAGCTCTCTGACAGTGTCCTTTAGGATCGTGGAGAAGCTGTCACGAAAAGCGAAGTGTCAAGTTTAGGATATGAATCAAACACTAATCAAATGTAAAGATGTTCCACTAATCTTTACTTACTGTGGATGCAACTTGTAAAGCGTGCCGTCCACTCCCACAGTAATCTCCAGATGATCCAGCCCACGGTTCTCTCTGATTTTGTCTACAACAGCAGCCATTCCTGCTCCACAGAGCTGAGCTGCTCGACGGGAAACAGCTCCACACACTTCCTTTACAATAATACTGTCATCACATGTGCTGTCCAGGCCCAGACTCTGCAGAATAGACCTCACTTGCAGTAGAGCCAAACGGTCACTAGGCAAATAAAAGAAGCCAAAGCATGAGGCAAAATAAATATATAATGTTGCATTTATTCACTTAGAAGTTTGAAGGAAAGAGAGTTAAATGACTTTAAAAGATTAAAAGCCTATTATTAAAGGCGCACTCCTTTTTTTCTTCATTTAGAAACTTGATTATTAAAAATATATATATGTTTAGTATCATGCTAGTGCATCTTTAATATGACAGAGTAGGCTGAACAACATCAACTAAGATATAAATTAAATGCCAAAATATTTAGGGAGCTGAGGTCAGTCATGTGTTCAATACATTTATGCCATAAATGGCTACTGTACCTCTCAATCTGTGAGAGGAACTTGGTCTCAAAGATGCCTTTGGTCTTCAGTCTCTCTGTGATGCGACCACGAAACAAAAGACCACGCTTTGTGAGATCAATGAGGATCTGCCTTACAATCTCTCCCAAATACATTCCACTGGTCATCTTTTCGAACCTGGAAATGAGAGGATAAGATCAGATTATATTTGGAAAACCTGACACTTTGTATATATTTTAAAAACTTTAAAGTAATAAAAATAATAGTAGTAGATTAGTTATATTTAAAGTAAAATGATTTAATTAATAAAAATAAATCTATAATTAAATTATAGTCTTCACAATAATGACAAAGTAATTAAATACTATTTTAATGCCACTTGTTTTTGCTTTTTGCCCATAAAAGGCTGTGTGCATTACAACAGGTTGCTAGCACTGTTTTCATGCTTCCTGCATGAAATCCTGACCGTATACTGCCTCCATGTGGACAAATGCAAAACTTGGATTGCACTTGATGCCATATAAAATGGTTATCTTTACCTTTGTTTTCCTGGATTGAGTGAGCCTCCGTCCACTTCTCTGTCGTATCTAGTCCGGATGTCCTCAGTATTATCATTTTCTCCAAATCCTCCCCACTCAGTGTTCACGCACATCTGCCCTTCATCACCCTCCACAAACTCAATGTTATTCATCTCCTCCATGTAACACACATTGCTTCCCGTTCCTGCAGAGTTAAGAATCATAGATGTGTTGACATGCTGCATACGATAATCTTTGTGTGTGTTGGTTTATAATCAGCAGGGAGGTTGTCAGTTATCATACAGCCTCATTGAAACACCACATTAATACGTACCAGCAATAAGACCAATCTGACATTTAGGGTCCTCATATGCACATGTCATCATTGTGCCAACTGTGTCATTCACTATAGCAACGATATCAAGGTCAAATTCCTGAAAGAAGAAATTTAATCACGATCACACCAATATAAACACCAGTAGCACAAAAAAA